CCAACCAATATTTATTGAGTGCCTAATATACATGCCTATATTTATCTAACCAACATTTATGGGGCACCTAGTGTATATGCTATATTTTTATTCAATGGTTTTTATTGAACACCTGCTATGTACCCCTGTATTTATCCAACCAAATTTTATTGGGTACCTAGTGTATCCACCTGTGTTTTCATTCAACCATTTATCGAGTTCTTACTATACGCTCACGTATTTATTCAATCAGTACTTACTGGGTACCTAGTATATATCCCTGTATATGTCCAATCAGCATTAATCGAATGCTTTCTGCATGTGTCTACATTTATCCAACCCAATTTTAGTAGATGCCTTCTGTATGCTTTGTTTATTCAGCTGACATGTTTGGATGCTACCATATGGCAGGCTCTGGGGAGAAAGCCATGAACAAGACAGACCTAGTCCCTGTCCCCCGAGTTCACAGTCTAGTGGAAGAGAGGCAGGCCCTCCTACCGGGAGATTACAACCTAGACGGAACAGTGCCATGAGGAGGTACTGGTAATTGTCTTTCACGTCGCCCTCAGTGTCCCAGCCACGTGGCCTATTGCATTAGGGCATTGTGAACACCTGGAGGAGGTGCCTACCCAGTCCTCAGGGTTCAGGGAAAGCTTCCTGGAGGAAGTGTCAGCTAAGCAGCGACCTGAATGATGTGCAAGCATCGGTCAGATGAGGAGGGAAGAAGAAAGGCATTTCAGGAAGGAGGAACAGCATATGCAAAGGCTCAGAGGAAAGAGACTGCAAGAAGTTTAGTCAGGCTGAGGGTATAATTTGTCTCAGGCCATGCATTCCAAACCCTTCTTGGAGGATGTGTCCCAGCTGTCCCCCTGGCTCTTCTCAGGATGAGGCTGTGGAACGCTGCATCCACCCGGAGCCACCTCGTGAACATTTTGGACAGAGGATCCTGGTCAAGTGTCTGTCACTTAAGTGAGTGTGCTGACCTGCCCTTCCCTTCAGAGATGCAAAGGGATGACATGGGTTCTGGTGCGGCACACTCTTGGTTGCTCACTACGAGAACCATGCCATTTCCATGCACCCCTGAGACCTGCGAGGCCTCCCATGGGATTTTGGGCAGGAAATAAGACTTCCTTTTTTGCTATTCAAAGTCACCAGTCTTTAAATGCCAACTGTGTGCCAGGCTCTGTTCTCAGCTCTTCACCTGTATTAACTCTAATCTTCACCACAACCTTGTAAGGTGGGCACAGTGGGGAAACTGAGGCACAGAGTGACAAAGTCATTGTGCCCAAGATCACGCAACTTGTGAGGCCAGGAGCTCAGCACTCACCCACTCTGTTGCTGGGACCCAGGCTGGAGGGGGTGCTGGTGACCCTGGAACTGGCTTCCAGCTGCCCGAGGCCACCTCCATAGCAGCTCCCAGAGAGCAGCCAGAAGTGCGTGGGAATGGAGCTGAACAGGATGTGGCCTTGGACCTGAGCCCGGCATTGCCCCTCCCACCCTGAATTCCTGGCTGGATGAGGGCAGGAAAGGGAGGCCCAGTCTGGCCTAAGGCCTAGGTGGTCTGCCTGCCCCAAGCACAAGGGTTGGGAACCAGCTCTGTGAGCTCATTCAGTCATTCAACGAACACTCACTGAGGGCCTACTGTGTACAAAACATGTAACCATGGGATGACTACACAGGGCTATCTAGATGGGGACGTGCAGCACACACAAAGGCGGGGAGACATCTGGAGAGGGGGAAAATGAGGCCAAGAGGTGGGCGGGGCAAGGCTGGGCCATGCAGCAATTTTTGCTCAGGGCAGTGGGGAACCTCAAATTTTAAGATGCTTCCTTAGAAAGTACATGGTGAGTGAGACAGGGAGGTGGTTACGGTGGCCGTTCAGGCAAGTGAAGTCAGGACTGAGCCCAGGGTGGCAAATGTGGAAGAGGACACCCCAGGGAGGGGAGACAGGGAGGCCTAGGAGTTGAGAATTTCAAGTTTAGGGGTGAATCGTTGTGCCAAAAGCTGCCTCCATGCCCGCTGAACAAGGGCCGTGGATGTGGGAGGCGGGGCTCTTTGTGAGTTATGGGGTGAGGGGGGCTGGGTTGGGCATCAGGAAGGAGTGTCAGGGGCAGCGTCTGCCAGATTACCCCATTCACCTGCAGGTTCGAGATCGAGATCGAGCCCATCTTTGGCATCTTGGCCCTGTATGATGTACGGGAGAAAAAGAAGGTAGGAGCCCCTTTCTTCCCCTTCCTCCCCGACATCCCTCCTCACTGCAGGACAGTGGGCTTCCTAGGGGTGGTGGCTCAGCTGCCTCTCGTGTTCCTAGATCTCAGAGAACTTCTACTTTGACCTGAACTCGGACTCCATGAAGGGGCTGCTGCGGGCCCATGGTACCCACCCAGCCATCTCTACCCTGGCCCGCTCTGCCATCTTCTCCGTGACCTACCCCTCACCTGACATCTTCCTGGTCATCAAGGTGCCTGCTGAGGCTGGGCAAGGGGTTGGTAATGGTGAATGCCACAGGCAGAGTCCCTGTTCTCATGGAAGAAGACAGACATGTCCCAAGAAGAATGATCAGGCCTGTCACGGGGGAAGCACAGGTAGTGGATGGAGCCTGGAGGAGGCTTCTGACCCAGCTCGGGTGGGGAAAGTGGACCCAGCCATGGAGAGGTAACACCTTAGCCAAGACCCATGAGTGGGCAGCCTGTGGAGATATGGCATCCTGGCACATGTGGATAGTCATCTAAAATAGTTTTTTAAGTTGAGGTAGTTTTCTGTTTGTTAGGGTTAGGGGAGGATAGACCTAGTTGGCACATTTATTTGGGATTTTCTGTTTCTAGGAGAGAACTCAAATTTTATTTACCAAAATGTCCATTTAGGTTATACTAATGACACGAATTGAGCAGCTACAGGCAGGCACTGATCACTGTCAGTCAGATGTCACAGGGGTTGCCTTTAGTCCTCACAGCAGCCCTGGGAGGTGGGGTTGCCACAGCCCCTGTTTTATAGCTGGGCAAACAGGCATAGAACAGATAAGGGTCCCACAGCCCGAGTGGTCAGGATTGAAGTCCAGTTCTTGTGGCCCAGAGCTATGTTTGGAGTGACCTCTTTATATTAACAAAGAAAAATATAGATGTGGGGAAAATATGGAGCCTTGGGTTTGGGGTGGATTCTAAAGGTGGGGAGGGGGCAGCTGGCCAGGCAAGTCAACTGAATCCCAAGGACAGTGGGAGCCATGGAAGGTGTGGGAGCAAGATGGATGGATGCCTGGGGGCTTGTGAGCGGTCCAAGAGGTTGGGAGTGAGGTGGGGAGGTTGGGAGCCTGACAAACACTCACTGGGCCTGCCTGCCCCTCAGCTGGAAAAGGTGCTACAGCAGGGGGACATCAGCGAGTGCTGTGAGCCTTACATGGTGATGAAGGAGGTGGACACAGCCAAGGTAATCGGGTGGAGGCTGGACCTGGTGGTGAGGGGGCCACCGGCAGGGCAGATCCTGGGTTCAACAGGCCTGAGGCACTGAGCCTGTGGGTGTCGGAGGGTCTCCCCACAGAACAAAGAAAAGCTGGAGAAGCTGCGCTTGGCAGCCGAGCAGTTCTGCACCCGCCTGGGCCGCTACCGCATGCCCTTCGCCTGGACCGCAGTGCACTTGGCCAACATCGTGAGCAGCGCGGGGCAGCCGGACCGTGACTCAGACTCAGAGGGCGGTGAGTAGGCGGGGCTTACAGGCCGAGGGCGGAGCTACCGGGGAGGGGAAGTGGCGCCCTCTGCTTGCTGGACTCGGTACCAGGCTGAGTCTCCAAGTCTCTGTCTGTCTCTCATCTCTGTCCCCCGGCATCTATCACTGTCACTGCCTTTCCTAGAGCGCCGATCCGCCTGGACTGACCGCCGCCGTCGGGGGCCCCCGGACCGGACGAGTAGTGGGGACGATGCCTGTAGCTTCTCTGGCTTCCGCCCAGCCACATTAACTGTCACCAACTTCTTTAAGCAGGTGTTGTGGCTGCAGGGCAGGGGGCTGGGGAAAGGGTACCGAGAGACACACCTCAGTTTCCCCTTGTGGGTACCCAGCTCACGGGGGTGGGTCCCGTGTAGGAAGCAGAGCGGCTCAGCGATGAGGACCTCTTCAAGTTCCTGGCTGACATGCGGCGCCCGTCATCCTTGCTGCGGCGACTACGGCCTGTGACTGGTACGTGGCACACCCCGTAAACAAGAGGTGTCGCCCACACAGTCATTCTCAACAAACACACACTGATCATCTGCTGTGTCCAGCCCTGGGGACCCAGCAGTGACTGTGATAGACAAATCCCTGACTTCAGGGGCTAGACCTGGTAAGGGCCAAGGTTAGAAACAGAATAAATAAGACAGATAGTGGGGCAAATGGGGGACATGGTAGGAGGGGAGGACACTGGTCCTGTGGGCAGAGCTGATCAAATATGGGGGCAAGAAATGAGTGGAGGGTGACTTCTGGCCTTAGCACCTGAGGGACAGCATTGGGGAGAGTAGAGCCCTGACTCTGAAGCCCAGGGGCTCCCAGGCAAGTGCAAACCAGTTACCCCTCCCTAGCCCAGCTGAAGATCGACATCTCCCCGGCCCCCGAGAACCCTCACTTCTGCCTGTCCCCGGAGCTGCTTCATGTCAAGCCCTACCCAGACCCCAGAGGCCGGCCCACTAAGGAGATTCTGGAGTTCCCTGCCCGTGAGGTCTACGCTCCCCACACCAGCTACAGGTAACAGCCTCCAGAGCCCAGCTGGGCACTTGAATAGGGGGTGTTAAGGCATCATGCAAAGCGAGGTCCCCTCCTCCCAGACACACACATGCCCAGGATGAGACACCACTGCTTACTTTAATGGGGTGTGTAGGCATGAAGAGGCACATGTCCTTCACCCCTCCTCGATGGGGCCATCTCTGCCTGCGTCCTCACCTGCTTCTGTCTCTGCTCCATGGCTGGAATCGGGGCCTGGTGGCCTGGCATACCCCAGCTGACAGGCAGCTCCTCCGTGTGCAGGGGCTGCATGGAGCGTGAAAGCACCCCTTGGTGCTTGGCTGGTCCTCAGTTCCTCCAGGCGGGCTCAGGCTGGGAGCGCCGCTCTGTGCAGTCTGGGAGGGAGACAAGGCTCAGCCAAGGCAGAAGGGCCCCCATCCAGCCACCCCACATACCCCAGTCCAGTTGCCCTGCATGCCCAGCCCCTACCAGGCTCACCTCTCCTGGATCTGTCGCAGCCGGTGCTGCTGTGCCACCATCTCCTGCCTCTGTCGCTGCAGGTGGCCTGTGAGGGCCCACACGACGTGGCTCTGCTTGTCAGCATGGGCCTGTGGGGTCAGGACAGAAACCTTAGCTGGGGGTCGCCTAACCTCCCATCACCTGACCATGCCCAACACCGCCCCCCTCATTGCAGGTCATTGCCACTCCCTGGCCTCAACTTCCCTATCTGTAAAATGGGGACGAAATGGGTCTCACTTCATGAGCTTATGAGCGTAATATGGAGTATAAAACAGTATTGGGTACTTACTAGACACTTGAGAAATGTTACCAGTTACTCTACTAGTATGCACTGAGTAGCTACCATGTGCCCGGCAGCCCCATGCTGGGTATTTTATCTACACTGCGTCCCTGGCTCTGCTCTGAGACATCAGTTGTTGCCTTTATTTGCAAATGGAGAGACTGAGGCACGAAAAGGGACATGAGTTTTTCCCAGGGTCACACAGGGTATTGGCCATGGTGCTGGGAGGCTGACCTGAGGGAGGGCAGGGGAATGTCTCCAGGACTTGCTCTAGAAGCAAGTTCTGGATGGGAATCGGGGTGCTGACTCCCCCAGGGCTGGGAGCCACCTACCTTTAAAACCTCAAATTTTTGGTGGGCGTGGCTCAGCCAGGCACTTCTCAGCTGGACTTCTAGCTGCTGCGTGCTGTCCTGAAGCTCTTGCTGTCCCTGGGCCACCTCCCCCAGCACCCGGGCCATGGCTTCTGTCTGCATCTTTAGAGCGTCTCCATCCATCTGATCAGTAGTGAGGCGTTAGTGGGATGACCAACTTGTCTTTGTTCGCCTGACCTTAACACCTAAAGTGCTGTATTCCAGGAACCCCCTCTTCCTGGGCAAACCCAAACAGTGGGTCACCCTAGACATAACTCCACCACAGACTCCTACCCACCCCACAACACCCCAACTGCAGTGCCCACCTGTATCTCCAACAAGCTTGCACGTAGCTCCTGGGCCGCATCCCGGCCCTGGCTGACTTCCTGCCCCAGAAGCCCCAGTGCGTGGCCATAGATGCCTAGGCTACTCCTGGCCTCCATCAGCTGTGCTTCCATGGTCCTGTACACACCATTGAGGGCCTGGCCCAGCTGCAGAGCCCCGTGGAAGAGCAGGGTCAGCTCCTCATTCTCTGCTGGCTCTAGGCTGCCGACGGGGGCCACAGAGGCAAGCTGGACCCCCGTCAGCAGGGCACATAGCAGACACAGTGCAAGCATGGGCATGGCTGAGGGGCTGGGGGTGCAATCCCAGAGCCACTGCCTTTTATCCCCTAACACCCCCTTTACCCTGGTCAATCATTAGCCAGGTGGGTGCCCTGCGTTATGCAAGGGCCTAGAGGTGGTAAGACTGTTGCATCAGGCGAATTGTCCAGCTGGGTCATGCTGGGATCACGCTGGCTGGGGCTCAGGGCCAGGCGTGGGCCAGGGCCACTGGGAGAGGTCAGGCCCAGGCCTAGCTAGGGGACCCTGAGGCTCTAAGCTTTGGTTTCCCCACCAGCGGATAGCACAACAACAACAGTAATAATAGTGAGGCCTTTATGAGTGCCACTGGTTTGCTCAGAGTTGTTCCATTGCCATTATGGTAGCTGGTCTCATACCCTTCCCACAAGCCTGCAATGCCAGGGCCTTTGCTGGCCTGGTTGAGAGCTGGGGGAATGAGTGCAGGTGGCGAGACTCTCCTGAGGCCACACAGCCCAACTCTAGAACCCACACATGCCCCAGATCAATGCTAACTGCCATTTATCTCCCTGAATGACTGTGGGCAAGTGCCTCGGTTTCCTTGCCTGTGAAATAGTGTGACATTAGTCCTGCCTTGAGAAGTAAATGAGCCGTTTCGTGTTGAGTGCTTAGAACAGAGCCTGGCCCACAGTAGGTGCCCCATTAGCGTTTGGTGCAATTATTGTCATTATTTTTATCATCTTTGGTATTGTTACGGAGGCTCAGCTGGAAGGCTCAATGACCTTGTTGTACAAATAGGGAAACTGAGGCCCAGAGGGAGGTTGGGGCTTGCACAGTTGCCTCTGGGAAGGGAGGCAGAACTCTGACCCCAACCCAGCTCCTACCTCTGACTCCGGCCTCAGCATCCCCACATGATAGACAGGCCGCATAACTAGTAGCCTCTCCTGGGGGAAGGGGCGGTCAGGCTCATGAACGCATGAGAGGCAGGTCAGCCCGGTTGGGGCTCAGGCCTGACCACTGGCCACCTGGGCCACCTTCTTGTTACCTTGGCCCTGAGCACCCATTTGTCCCCTACCCTCTGCCTCATCATGCCTCATTAGTGCCCCCAAAGTCCCTCTGTGTTCCCACTCTCTGCCAGTTTCTTTATCTGTACTCTGAGGGTGCCCATCTGTCCCCCTCTCTGCCAGTCATATTTCTGGCCCATGCCCCTAATTGTCACTTAACCTGGCCCTCAATGCCCCAGCCGTGTGGCCACTGCCTTGTGTCCCAGGCCCAGCCTCTTCTGTCCGTCTGCCGCCCCTGCTCTCCCCTCCCCTGTCCCCACAGGAGCCTGCTCTACGTGCACCCGCACAGACTCAGCTTCAGCAGCTGCTCTGCCACCCCTGTCCCCACAGGAACCTGCTCTACGTGCACCCGCACAGCCTCAACTTCAGCAGCCGCCAGGGCTCTGTGCGAAACCTCACCGTGCGAGTGCAGTACATGGCGGGCGAGGACCCCAGCCAGGCCTTGCCGGTGAGTGGCTGGGCCTGGGGGAGGTGGGTGGGGTGTCCCTAGTGGGCCCCTCATGCCCCCGCTCCCCTAGGTCATCTTTGGTAAGTCCAGCTGCAGCGAATTCGCCCAGGATGCCTTCACGCCTGTGGTCTACCACAGCAAGTAGGTGGCATGGGGGCAGGAGCACTGATGGGCGGGGGACAGGTTCCAGGAGCGCTGGTAGGGGGACCCGACAGTGGGGCCTGCAGCACTGGGGGGGGCCACACGGCTGAGGGGATGGGGCAGGCACGGGGATCCCAGCCCCCAACAGAACCCCAGTCTGGCCCTGCCAGATCCCCTGAGTTCTATGAGGAGTTCAAGCTGCGTCTTCCGGCCTGCATGACTGAGAACCACCACCTGCTCTTCACCTTCTACCACGTCAGCTGCCAGCCGCGGCCTGGCACTGCCCTGGAGACTCCTGTGGGCTTTACTGTGAGCGCCCCTACCAGCCCGCCTGCCTCCTCCCCAGCCCGCCTGGGCCCTGCCTGGCCCCACCCCTGACTCCCAACCTCTCCCCAGTGGATCCCACTGCTGCAGCACGGCCGCCTGAGGACGGGCCCCTTCTGCCTGCCTGTGTCCGTGGACCAGCCCCCACCCAGCTACTCCGTGCTCACACCTGATGTATGCACCTGGCCCCCCATGGTTCCCCAGACTCCTGTCTCCTGGGCCCTTGGGAATGCATTACCCACCTTCCCACCAATGGCCTGGTGCCTCTCTGACCCCCATTGTTCCTCATTCACCATGTGGTCCCCCATCCATGCCCTGCCTTCCTTCCCATCAACACCCCTTGGAGACTTATTGTCCTCTGTTACAGCCTCCAGGGCCCCTGGCTGCCTTATCACCCCGTTATTGCCTGCCTCTGTGTCCTACTGCCCCCATGTGCCCCTCCCTGTCCCCCAGTATCCCTGCCTCATTACTGCCTCCTGCCTCTGCACTCACTGTCCCCTATTAGCACCCCTGCCTGCCTCCCTGATCCTTGTTCCCCAGGAGTCCTTTAGGGTCGATCACTGCCACGCTCCCTCTCTGAATACTCTGTCACCCTCCCACTTACCCTCGAGGTGTTCATTAATGCCCCTGGGGCCTCAAACCCCCATGCTATCTCCTGATTCACTCCCTTCAATTACCGTTCACCCCGGGAATCCATTCTGTTCCCCTGTTAGCATACCGGCTTCCAGCCTGCCCAGTGGACCCCATAGTGCTCCCTCCCATCCCCTCTACTCCCGTCTCTGGGCTGGGTCGGAGGCATGGTGCCCAGCGGTTCCCCCAGGCAGGGCCATGCTCAGGCCACAGTGTCGCAATGGCTGGGCCTGCAGCCCGATTGGTAGCTGGTAGGGGAGGGCCAGCCGGCGCCCACCACGTTTCCTCTCCCACAGGTGGCACTTCCGGGCATGCGCTGGGTGGATGGCCATAAGGGCGTATTCAGCGTGGAGCTCACAGCTGTGTCCTCTGTGCACCCCCAGGTAGGGAGTGGGATGGGAACCCAGGAGCCGGGCCCTGAGGCTGGGCAACAGTTCCCACTGACCAGGGAGGCTTGGCCTTGGGCCATGGCTATGACTTCGGTCAGCTGGACCTGTCTCCCAGGGAAGCTGCTGACTCAGGTGGGGGCAGCCATGCCAGTGGCCATCCCAGCTGGGGCTCTGGCCCTGTGCATGGTCTCTCCTCTCCTGCATTTTTTCCTATTTCTGTGGTCACTTCCCCCTCTCTCCCTCCTTTGTCTGATATCTCGTCCTTGTGCTTATTTATTGTCAATTCATTGATCCCTGGCCTCAGTGTCCTTGCCCACTCAGCTTCCTATTCAGTCCCCTGGGAGCTTCCCGGACCAGGGGCCCTGGCCCCTCCCCACTCACTCCTGGATCTTCCTGTCCCCAGGACCCACACCTGGACAAGTTCTTCACCCTGGTGCATGTCTTGGAGGAGGGGGCTTTCCCGTTCCGGCTCAAGGATGGCGTGCTGAGCGAGGGCACCGTGGAGCAGGAGCTGCGGGCCAGCTTGGCTGCCCTGCGCCTTGCCAGCCCCGAGCCCCTCGTAGCCTTTTCCCACCACGTGCTGGACAAGCTCGTACGTCTGGTTGTACGGCCCCCGATCATCGGCGGCCAGATTGGTGAGCAGGCACGGCCTCAGACCTCAGTTTACTGTCTGGAAAATGGCACCTCAGTCCGCTGATCTTGGGTGACCTCCTCTAGCCCTTTTATTTTTCAGGCTTCAGTCTCCCTATCTGAAAAATAACCCCAAACCCCTGGGCCAAGAGCTGGTCCTCTGTGACCCTTTGATGGCCACATGATTCTTCGGACCCTAAAGTCTATTCCTTGGGAAGGTAGGAGGCCTGGAACTTGACCTCTGCTCTTCCCGGCAGTGAACCTGGGTCGTGGAGCCTTTGAAGCAATGGCCCATGTAGTCAGCCTCGTCCATCGGAGCTTAGAGCCTGCTCAGGATGCCCGTGGTCACTGCCCACTCCTGGCTGCCTATGTGTACTATGCCTTCCGATTGCCTGGCACTGAGCCCAGCCTCCCAGGTGGTGAGTGTTGCGGGGAGACTTCAGGGGACAGGAAATATCTGGGAGGAGAGCATCCTAAACAAAGGGAGCAGCATATGCAAAGGTTCTGAGGCCACATGTAGCCTCAGTTGGTTTAAGCAACTTGTAAGAGATAACTTTTTGCCCTATCCTTGGTGGGTCATTGTAGACTTGACTGGCAGGTGATTCAGCCAGTCAGCAAGCAGGGACTCAGGCGGGGTTGCCTGAGTTTGATTCCTACCCCTGCCTCCTACAAGCTCTGTCTGTGATCCTGGCCAACTGATTTCACCTCTCTGCGCCTCTTTTCTCATTTGTAAACCGGTGATGATAATAGCGCCCCCTCCTGGGCATGCTGGTAATAGTAAATGACAACAATCTGCAAAATACTTGGCGCTGCGAGTACTCAATTTTAAGTTGTTTTTTTCTCATTTGCTAAATAATTAATAACCACTAACCCCTTTGGGCACTTACTATGTACCAGGCACTGTTCTCAGTGTTTTTCAGTCTCCTCAAAATTACTATGAGGCAGCAGCCATTCTCACACTCATTTTACAGGTGAGGAACCTGGAGGCTGAGAAAAAGAAAGTAACTTCGCCAAGGGCAGCCTACTGGAAAGGCGGGTCATCGGGGCGGGTACGTGGGTGGCTAACCATATTTCCTCCTTCCTCAGGGGCACCTCCAGTGACAGTGCAGCCTGCCACGCTGGCCCGTGGGCCCGGCCGCCCTGCAAGCCTCTACCTGGCTCGCTCTAAGAGCATCAGCAGCAGCAACCCCGACCTGGCCGTGGCCCCTGGCTCTGTGGATGATGAGGTCTCCCGCATCCTGGCCAGCAAGGTAGGGTGAGGGGGGCCTTGGAATTTGCAGTCTCAGTGGCCATGGATGCCAAGTGGGTAGTTAGAGGATCCCAGTGTTGACAGAGGACAGGAAACAGCAACGAACAACAGCATGGACATGGGGCTGACTTTTAATGGCAGGGCTGGGCTGTGGCTGTCACAAGTCGGAAGCTGTGACAGGTGTGCACTGGGCTCCATACTCTGGGGCCAACCCAAGAATGGGTGGCTGGAGGTTGGCCTGGTTGAAAAAAAGAGCAGTGCGTATACAGTGCAGCAGATACATATACATGTCCATGCACAGGTGCAGATACGTGTGTATCCCGTGCACACTCGAACACAGGTGCATATACTCTTGCACCGCATGCACATACGTACGCAGGAGGCATGTTCATGTGTATCCCATTCACGTACGTGCACATCCGTTTTCCCAGGTTGAGTATGGGTACCCATGTGGGCACACACATGGTCCAGGGCAGTGCTCACCTTTGCTGTTTCATTCTGGTTTCTCTGCCGTCTGCCTGTGGATTCTACCACTTGCTCGTGTATCTCCAGGGTATTGACCGTTCACACTCCTGGGTGAATTCTGCCTATGCTCCAGGAGGCAGCAAGGCTGTGCTGAGACGGGCACCCCCTTATTGTGGGGCCGACCCCAGACAGGTGCCCTCCCTCCCTCCCTGCCCCTGCATGCGTGTGACTCCCCCACCCTCAGAATGAGCTCTTCTTACCTCCCTGGCTGCAGCCTACTAATCTAGGGGGGCTGCCTGAAGGAGGCAGTAGACCCCTTCTGCCTTTGTTTGGGTCTATAAAGTCAGTGTCGGTGTGGTAGGTATCAGAGTATCATCTTAACTGATCTACTGCCACATGGACCACAGTCT